AACAGAATTTCAAACCAAAATGATAGGAAATTAGCAATGGTTATTATTTTGCATATTGTTATCTTCAAAGTAGTTGCTCAGATGACCAAATATAGGCATGCAAAATTGATCAAATAATATAAGCACTAACTGTTCTTTTCAATGAATTAATAGAAATTAGTAGTACAATTATCTTAGCTATTTTGTATGTAAATCTTTCTTAATGGATTGACTAAATTCTTTGTTGATCTGGGAAACATTGGCGCTGCATAAGAGAGCTGACATTTTATTTCAAGTACGTTAGTGTTTCAGACAGTGGGTGAGTGGTTTCATTGTATCCAGATCGATCTTTTCTGCAGGTGAAAGCTGCTACTTACAATGACCGGAAGTGGGATCTCCAGGAGGGCAATGGTGATATAAGCTGAGAGGGTGACTTCATCTTCTACTCCTCCCTGTGAATATGCAAGAGGAAGAGATTTGAGCAGTTCAGCTTCTGAGGATATCGTTGATCGGGTCTTCCTATTCTGTGGTGTTGTGGAATTTACATCGGTCCCCACTGGGCCAAGTGCCACAGCCGATCTAAGTTCCACCCCCTCTTTCTTGGTTGTATCCAGATTTTACTTTTTTACATTATCATGTCCTCTCTTCATGTTTGTAGATATTATAACAAACAAATAACAACTAGTGTTGGAATAATTCACCTTTATGGCATTGTTAAGCAGTGACCCGGAGCTCCTGAAACAGCCATTGTCTTTCTGCTTCTGGGAGAGCCAGAAGAGGGGTTGGGTAATGTGTGTTTCATCAATGAAGATATATTTTCGAGCCTGGGCAAAAGTCTTCAGTACAAAGGCGGTGAGCCTGAGAGGGGAGGAAGTGGTGATGTTACAATGCTTTAACAGCCACTTTACAGCAAAGGGCTTGGTGGGACACTTCTGAGGTCTACCTAGAATTCTTGTGTACTAACAGCGCTTATCTCCTTTTAGCTCTGATCTCCTTGACTAACGTGCTAGGTTTAGTGTTTCCTGGCTGACTTACTCTCCCTTACCACAGGATGTCTATGTACTTCTAATTTACCCTTCTTGGTTATTTATGAAAGGCTTTTAAATATTATCTTCTCTTTAGAGATTTCATTCTGTAGATGACAGAACCTTCTCATATGCAGCTCTTATATACAATAACATCTAATTTGCTTCACCTTAAGGATTTAAAAAATATGTTTCATATCACTGTTGCCTTCTCAATTATTTCCATCAAGTGTATTTATTTTTAGTCAAGATAAGTATGATCTAAAAAAGGCAATATATGCAGAGATTAATATTGTTTATCTGGAAGTTATACAATATAGTTACTGCTATATCATTTAAAAAACTCAATTATGGGAGCTATTTTAGAGAAAATACCTTGGCGTATTATTAAGGATGAAGTTTGGAAACAAGTCTAACCCATATGTATTTGAATATCAGTCTTTTTTTTGTTACCTTGCTAATTAATATTGGTGCAGTTAGTATAATCCACAATAGGTCTAAAATACAAATCCTAATAGAGTAGCTGTGAATATAATCTTGGTAATATATGGAAAAAAGCTGGCATAAAAATTAGGCTCAAAAAGTTGGCCTTCTCTTACCAGGTATTGCCCTGGCCCCTGCTATGTCTCTCCCCAAAGGTGCTGTAGGAGCCATCACGATGCTTGTAGTTTAACTGTCTTTGGTAACCTGGAATGAAAGGTCAGTGAATCAACAGGAAAGCTTTAAGTACATGCTGAAGCCAGAGAAATTACTCAAAAGCTTTGGTCTCTCTTGTGACTTTTCTAAATTTCTCTGTTATGTGTTAGTAGGTTCTGAGTCCTGATTTTACTGGGAGTTGGAGAGTGGGTAGTTTCTATAAAATTGACCATCATACTATTCTTATCATAGTAGTAACATACTGAGATAAGGTTGTATAAAATAGTATTGATAAGAATTCAAACCTACTGGGAAAATCATTTAAGGTAACACTGTACTAACTCGCTCGATCGCTCACCAGTGCTGAGATAGCTGATAGCCTTGGACTTGGTCTCTGGAGTTAGCTGCTGTGTTTCGTTTAGGTAATCCAGAACGTAGATGTTAGGAGCAAACAGAACCATATTTTGTTCTCCACAGCCATAAGGCATCTGGAGGAGATTCTGTATGTTTTGTGCGGCAGAGCCCAATAGGTCTCCTGGAGAATGGGAGAGATGGGAAGTCATAAAGGTTAGAGATTATAATCTATCCAAAGTATTAAAAAGAAAAGAGTAATTAGCTGGTCTAAAATATGTCTTTTTATTTTTAACAAGAAAAGATAAGTTTTCCAGACAGAAGTATATTGGCATTAATAAAGAAGTCTCAAGAATGGAAGAATAGGGGCTGGGGATTTAGCTCAGTGGCAAAAGCGCCTGCCTGGCAAGCGCAAGGTCATGAGTTTGGTTCCCGGTACCGGAGAAAAACAAAACAAAACAAAAGAATGGAAGAATAAAGAAATTAAAATTATGTTTATTATTTTGGATAAATATTTACAGAAAGGAAATATAGTAGAAGCTGTTAATGCCCCCACCCTCTAGGGGCTGGACACTCACCCAAAATAGAAACAGTGGCTCGGGCAGATTCTTTTACCACATTTTCTGGCAAAGCAAGGAGTAATTTTTCAGATATTTCACTACCTACAGAAAGAAACAAATAAGCCACATGAAAACTCTTTCTGCAATGTGTCTTTTGGAAGAGCTCTGTAATTCTGAAGTCAGATTATGCCTTATATTTAACTATCCCTGAAAATTTGTTCCTCTTTTAATAGAACAGTTTTTAAAAGAATTCCTAAAAGAAGGCTATTGGAATTCTGAGACGTTTAGAATTTCACCCACAATCACGACTTCCCCCTGTCTGGACAGTTACATTTCAAAAGAAGACAAAAATTTGATATGTGATGCTGTGATTCTGTTTTAACGATACTTCAGATCTTACAATGCAGGGAAAGTATAGAAATAAAATAAAAAGATTCTCTGGATTTAAAATGCTATTCAAGTTTTAATCAATGTTATTCATGTATAATGATGACCCTTACCTGACGGACAAACCAGAGAGTTGAATGTTGCTTCTTTCTGTATTCCTTCAGGCTTTAGGTAAGAAGAAGAAAAATTAGACACAGAACAGACTGACTTTCAGGACACGGACACCGATAGGGGAACCACAGATCTCTCAGAAGTGAAGAAAAGGGTTTGAATTTGACTGTAGGGACAGATTCTATAAATATAAGCACTATGAAGGCAGGTTGATAAAGGAATGTGAGGAGAAAGGAAGGAAAACAAATCCGATAAAGGAATGTGAGGAGAAAGGAAGGAAAACAAATCCTGAGACAAAGAGACAGAGATGATAAATAGGTAGAGAGGGATAAAGAAGGAAAATATTGTGAAACATCTATATGATCTACATGCTATAATTATCCTAGAATCAACACATGTAGGTTATCACGGATATTATGGATTATTTATTATCTCTCCTTATATACAAGTTAATAAAAATGAAGATAGGGAAAGGAATGAGTAGATGGGAGAGGGAGGGGAAGGGAAAGATGATGGAAAAGGAGTTAAGATTTATTATGTGCATGTATCAGCTCCCCACAAGGAATGTGAACATTATAGACCCCAAATATGTACCAACAAGTCAACTGAAATACAAGATAGAGTTCCAAGGTAAAAGACAAAGTTGGAATCCTAACTGTTTTCACTGCTGTTTTTTGTGACTCAGTGTGGGCAATCAGAGCAGCAGCATTACTTACTTCTACCAACAGGGGCTTGATAACTGTGTCTTTCTTTCCGTCTTTAGGCACCACAGTCTTTTCATTTCCACAGAGCTCGGAGGACTCCAGTGCCTCTGCACTCACAGTGAAATTCACCTTTCCTGAAAAACAGTACAGCAAAGATAAGTACCATTCCTTCCTCTACGCTTCCAAACTTAAGATGTACAAATGCTAAATGCCCTCTAAGCTTTTGTTTCATAAAAACAAAAAAACAGGAACGGGAGCCGCAAAAAATCTTGAGAATCCTCGCAGAGGTGGAGGTGAAAATGTGGAGATCCTTCCAGGCATGCTAGGGTGAAAGGAAAAAAATCTTCCCACCTTGAGGTCCATGCTTGAGGCAAGTAGCGCGGGCTCTAAGGACCGAGATATTCACTCTCTGAGCAGAAAATTACGTACTCTAGGAGTGTGCCCCTCACCTAGTGACTTAGGGGTCACAGCCCAGGACACAGTTTGCCGCTCATTCCCACAGACACAGTAAGACTCTTGTTGCTTAACCACAGGCGCAGCTAGGAATTTGGAAGAGGCTTCCAGCTGCACACTGACCTGAAACCACAAAGACACAAAGGGATTAGAGGTAGAAGGGGACCGGAGGACGATGTGTTTGAAGCGTATCAAAGAAACGGTGAGATTTCAGGGTACTGAATAGAAATGACAGTATAAATGAAAACAAAACACCTTTCGAATGTTATGGTGAATTTGCATTGAGATCTTAGCATTTTGGGGGTAGCTTGGTCTTTTGTGTGGTGGACAGAAGAGAGGAAAGGCCACGATGGCCCCTTGCCTGTGTGAGCTCTGCTTTGTTGGCCTAGCAGACAGGCCTGACCATTCCCTCTGCTCTCCCAGCAGAACATACAATATCTACATAGTTGTGGTTCCAGCAAAGCTAAGACGCTTGCAAGTAACTTTTAAAATGAGGCTGAGTGTAATGAGTGAGCTAGGAAAAGCCCGGGAATGTAGAAGTGGAATCCTGGATTATCTGGCAAGAAAGAAAGCACTGCTATCTGCTGTCCATGTCAGAGGTCTTTTTTCCTCTTCTTCTTTGCAGTGCTAGAGGTGAGCCCAGGGCTTTGTGCACGTCCAGGACTCTGATCTTTGTCAGAAATTTTATTTTGCACAAGGTACTAAATTTAAAAGGGCTTGATAAGGGCTAGAAATTTGTTTTTGGAATTTGGCATTTATTTTTCAATTTGGCATTTAGATATCAGCAACTATTATCTATCTGTATCTATATATAGATCATATAAATACTTCTCTGATAGTATTATTTCTTTATTGATCACATCTTGTATACAAAAGCATTTGTCAGAATTCCTAAAAATGCAATCGTTAATTTACTTGACTGTCACCTTGTGTTCAGTTTAGGAAAGACAGCTCCTTACCCGGATGCAGTCAGGAAGGTAGTTCATGACAGTAGCCTTGAGTGTGAAGGCCTCGCCACGGACCACAGAGTAAGGCATCGTGAGCTCCAGGAAGAAGGGCTGGAACGCTCGGAGGGAGACAGTGGGGGAAAGACCAAGTCCGGAGTCTTCAGACAGGCAGAGGGCCCTGGCTTTCCACTCAGTGATGGTGTCTGGGACTGTGACTGCTACTTCAGCCACGCCTGAGGAGCTAGGAAGGGGGCAACACGAGGCACAGTGTTATGGTTTGTGTCTGGATGTCCCCCCAAAGCCTCATGCGGTCATGGGGCAGGCTTCTGGAGTTTGATTGATTATGGGTGTGAGAGCTACACCCACCCTGGGGTGATAGTTTGCATATGTAAAGGAGAGGAAGAGGCTGTTTGCGGCCATTCCTGGCTTTTGTGCTTGTTGCTTTTGCTGTGTTCTGCCGCCATGAGCTGTAGCCCTCTGCCATGTTTCACTCTGCCTTGTAACCTGCCAAGTATGGACTAAAACCTCCACAAACTGTAAGTGAAATAATCCTTTCTTCCTTAATTTTTGGCGGTATTTTGTCAGGTATTTTGTCCCAGCAACGAGAGAAAAGTAACCAAGACAGACAGAAAGCAAGCTGTCCTGGAAGTGTTTATAAGTGACTTTACTCTAAATGATTCTCCAGAAATACCAACAATGAAGGGCATAATCAAGGCTTGATATAGCAAAATATAAGACCATTTCTTCCAACTCTGTTTCCAGTTCTAATCTATGTCAGAATCTCTTATACACATATAATTGGGAAATAATTATAGTAATAAGCAAAATGTATCATGTTTTTCTTTTTCCTTTTTTTTTTTTTTTTTTTTTTGGTACCAAGAATCAAACTCAGGAACTTGCTTTTGCCAGACAGGTGCTTGTGCCACTGAGCTAAACTCCCAGCCCCCAAAATGTATAGTTTGAGGCTGTCCTTAAGTTCTTATCCACTGAGGGTAATACAGCAAGCGTTGTTAATTTCCTACCACTTTGATTGTAACTCTGTATTGTCTGTACTGTTCTTTTGCTACTTTGTAAAAGGTTGTCTGTCTGTTAATGTTTTCCTCCTTTTATTTTTAAAATAAAAAAACAAAAAAACTCAAAGTGCTAAACAAAATGAAAAGCCTCCTATTGATAGAAAGAATATTTGTGAATCCTCTATTTGATAAGAAATTAATATACAGTAAATATATAAGGGAACTCACAACTCCATAGCAAAAACAAAACACTTAACAAACAAAATAAAAATCTGATTAAATACCAGTCAGGGTAATTGAGAGACAGTTTTCCAAAGGAGACATGAGAATGGCCAACAGGTACATGAAAATGCACTCAACACCCCTAATCATCAGGAAAAAGCAGATGAAAACCATAAGAAATTATCACATCACATCTATTAGGATGAGTACTTTAAAAAAAGAAAAGAGAATTAAAAATGTTGGTAAGGGTGTGAAGAAGGAAACCTCTGTACAGTTGGATGGAATATAAATTGGTACAGACTTATAGGAAACTACGCTGATACATAAAAACAAATCCCTCTTCTGGGTATAAACCCTAATGAATTTAAAACATCTCCTCATAGAAATATGGGGGCTCAGACACAAAGAAAAATACTGTATGTCTTACATCTGGAATCTAAGGATTTTGAATATATAGAAAGAGAGGAACAGAATGTAGTGGTGGTGGGGTGATGAAGAGAAGCTGGTCAAAGGGAACCAAGTGGTGGTTATGTAGGATGAATACATCTAGAGATCTAATGAGCAGCATGCAGACCACAGTTAAAGTACTGTATACCGGATATTTGCTAAGAGAATAGATTTTAGGTTGTCTTAACACACACACAATGTAACCATAATAGATGATGGATATGTTAATTTGCTTGAAATGATTTCACTATGTATGTATATAAATGTATATCTTAAATATGTAAAATAAATGAAAAATTATCTAAGCATTAGAAACTGTGAGGGTGTCTATCTTATTGAATCTAATATATAAAAGAAGTTACTTACTCTGTCTCCTTCAAGTCCCAAATCCATGTCTCAGGGAAGTACTTTCGTACAGTCTCTTTGGGAGGCTCTGCACTGTTTAAGCTCTGTGCTATGGATACACCACTTCTGGATCGAAATGGAGCTCCTTCTTTCACAGAAGAGACAATAAAAACAGCTGATATAAAGATGATGCTCATGAGATATTTTAACAGATGCTACTAGAGAAATAGGTAGACATCAGCAAAATGTATTGCTGATGTCTGTGGTTTATTGAAAGGAATAGTCAATGCTTAAAATTTTCTTTTTTCTTGACCAATTTTGCATGCTTGAATCTGGTAGTCAGAATGACTGATCTGAAAACAATAATATGCAGTATAAGAACCACTGATGAACTCCTACCATCTTGTATGATGAAGCTCTGCGTCATTCCCAATGTTTTTTTATGATTTGTTACTGTCTTTGATTGTTTGATCAATCTTACATTCTTACTTCTGGTGGACGGAGCAACTTCATTGAAGATAACACTATGTAATGTAGCAACCGTTGTTATTTCCTATCATTTTGTTTTGAGGTCATGTATCGTTTTTGTTGTTTTTGTGTTGTTTTGATTTTGTCTTCATTGTTGTTTTGTTAGTTTAAAAAACTTTTTTTAAAAAGAAATAGGTAGAGTGGTGAAATAGGAACCAGGAGTTGGCATTTGGGTACTGAGGGGGCAGCTTCCAGGAGGAGAAGATGTTTCTGCTGAATTCTGAAGTATGAGAACAAGCTGAGCTGAGGAAGAGAACCACAGGTTGAGAATATGGAGACTATGGAAGAACACCTTGGGCTGTCTGTGGAGCAGGACTCTGTGGGGTCCTGTGAGCCTCTCACTGTGTTAAGTGGAGAGAGAACTACCTGGTGAGGGTCAAGTTGCTGTAGGTGGGCTCCTCTGGGGAAACAAAGAACAACAGTAATAGAGCAGTCAAGACGGTGAGTTTGAGAAACAGTTTATAAGAGTGAAAAGATCAAGGGCAGAAAAGACCCTTTATTCCATACTGTGTCAGAAAACCTGTGTTAAGTTCTCTCATCCTGGTAAATATTTAATGGGCAGTTTTCTGAGGAAAATATGCATTGATGTGGTATGATAAAATATACAGTGAATTTATAAGTTAAAAAATTTATACCAGCAAGAGACACAGTGCATCAAAATTAACTACCCTCCCTTCCAACACACTTAATCCCACCATTCTTGTCACTTTCTGAAGCAGTTCTGGAGTCCTCTTTTATGAGTGCTGGGTTGTTAAGGTTGCCTCAATCTTCTGGACTGGTTTCAAAAATTTACCTTTCATGGTCATTTTGACTTTGGGGGAGAGCCACAAGCAGCATGGTATTAAATCCTATGAACAAGGTGGGTGAAGACACGCCATAACATTTTTACAAGCCTGCCTTTTCGATTGATGGCACTCAGCTGTCCTATCTGCTGTAGTTTTGAAGCAATCTTGTAAAGAGGCTCATTAAAAAAAATTCCAGAGCTGATTCAGGAGGTGGTAAGAACAATGAGATAAGTGTATTTGAAGCAAGGGGGATTATCTTGAAGGGGATTCATGCCAGTATGTTTTTTACTATAAAAAGCATTTAAAGCTTTAATCACCATATATTTTGGTCACATCTCATGTATTCTCATACAGGAATATATATTGCATTCTTGTATAAGAATCTTACTTTAAATCTTACAGGACTAAGTAATTTGTAAATAAAAATGTATGATAATAGTCAATGATTAAAATTTATAGTAAATTTCAAGTGCATGGCCATTTGTTTCTCATTAAATGAAGTCTTAGATTTCTGATGGCCTTTCGCTTGCACTCAACTTATATTCAACTGTGTTTTGACAAATACATATGACTAAATGCTGATCACTGTGGTTCATTAAATAGTAGTTTACATCACTGAAAAATGGTACGGTTTCTATGTGAATAATGGCTGATGTTTTGGGGAAGTTAAAAGGGTTTTTTGTTTGACTGAGGAGAACGTGGTCCTGTTTTGTGAACATTTTGATTACTGTTTACACTGAGACTGTGCCTGGAAATTTTATTTTCTCTTTCAACACATCTCCTCTTATCAGAAGCAAATTCCTCCTGAATGGCTTTTGAACTCCTCAAGCAGAACTAATCCTTTCCTTTATTTTTCACCTCTGCACCTGTCTTCCAGCACTTTGCACAATCTGCTTTGTGTTCTTTCCAGATTTTCATCTGTAGGAGTGTTGATGCGATCAGATTTGGGCTTGTGTTGTTATTTAACCGGGAGCAAGAATCTTACAATATCTGAATCACAAGTCCTTCTCTATTTTTTGTAATTAAAATTTTTCTTATTTGGTTTAATATTTTAGGTCAGACATTTTTACCTGGATATCTTGCATATGCCAGTGCACCTTCAAACTGCTGCACCCGTGCACATAATTGGGGTTTTTGAATTTTTGAATTGGTGAATACCTTTAAGCCCATATCCTGTAAAGGAAATGATCACCTTATGTGTGTATACATATTACAAAATATATAATATATACAAGCAGATACCTCTTTTCATTGAATTTAACAAACACTCCAATTAGTCTAATGTTAAATTTTAATGCTCACAGTTATAGAATGAACATTAGAAGATTTACAGAGATAACTTAATTTTGTCATTGAAACTCTGTCAGTGGCAATTATGTTATGTAAGTGACAGTTGTAAATATCATGAAACCATGAATTTCAATAAGAAAGAAAACTTGTTTAGTAGTCCAAAAAATTCCTGTCCTGATTCTGCGGCTTTTAGCAGACCTCCTATAATTAGCCACTTTGGAGAAGTCATTTGACCTCTCTGTTCCTTAGCCTCAAGGATGCACTATATTTTAAGAACCTTAAGTACTGACTCTCTCCAACGTAAAGGATTTACCTTTAGGAAGCCATACATATCTTTTTCATTTGTGTTGGGTACCGGGGAAAACAGGACTCCATTAATGTAGGTATTGGGAAGATTGATGCAGTCTTCGTTGTTTTCTTTCTGCTGACTCAAGCTCCCAGGGAAATCAGTGAGATCTTTTACTGGTAGCAGCTCATAAACCTGGGTAATGCAGAGGACATGAAGGGAATCTTCTTTGTGGCTTATATTTTAAGTGTAAGAAGTAAAGAATGAGAATAACCACCATCAGTCTTTCTTTGAGTGATCTCATTGCTTTGATAACTTATAGAGCAGGTGCAAATCATTTTCTCAGAGCAGTTTTTCCATTATGAAAATGTTTACCAGTTTCAGAAAAAAACTGAAATATTTGCATCTAATTCAGCAAGGGTCATAATACTATTAGGCTGTACCACTCAGAGGCAAACACTAGACTTGATACTAAAAGGAAATAAAACTTTATTTATTGAGAAACCAAGTTCTGCTCTATGTGAGGCAATATATAATAAGACTTTGGCATAACGGAAAGAACTGATAGCTTTGTCTCGGTCTTGTGGCTAGCAACTGGCTCAGTTTATAGTAAAATTATTGAACATGTTTCTAAACAGGCACAGGAATAAGTACTACACATATTCTTTCCTGGACAGGATAGTGTTTTTCTAAGGTATACTGTCCATGGAAACAAAATGCTCTGGATCTTCACACCACACATAAGTTCATAAAGTACTGAAAGTAGTATTTTCAAATGTGTTCAAAAAGACGAAGACATGTAACAATGCTGACAAGTGCACTGTGCTATATGGTAGAAGGGTGAAACTGATTAAACATAGATTAGCAAAGTGAATAGTCTGATAAACTGAGACACTTTCTCAAAGGCAATTCCCTCTTAACATTCCCTATTTCCCCTCCCAGCTTAATTTTTTTCTAAAGCATGTATTGTCTGACTCAGCTATGGATATGTAAATTCCATAGACATAGAGTTTCCTTTTTCCAGTCGCTTTTAGCTTCTTAGCACTTAGAATAGCCCCTAAAACACAGTAGGTATTAAATAAACATGTATTGAATAAATATTACTCAGAGCCAAGTGCTTTATTAGTACAACATTAACCAAGGATTGAGAGGAATTAGTATCCTACTACAGAAAAAGGACAGCATCCGCTTTCTCTTTAGCAATAAACACGTGAATATGATCATATTTATTTAAATTTGATATACTGCTAACCAAAACAGTTATGGCATTATTATTAAGTAGGATTGTCTGCTTTATCTACCAACCAGGGTTATGATAATTTAAAAAACCTTTGAGAACTAAAAGTTATGTCATTCAAAGGTAGAATATTAATATTACCACATATGCCTGTCTTCCACTGTTGAAATGTATTTAATATTTTCTTTAAAAGTATTCTAATATTTTCATTTAAAATCTTATTTAGATTAACCAAAAGGTAAGAAATGTTCTCTTTGAAGTTTCTGTTTTAGGGAAATAAAGATATAGTGTTCCCTTTTATGAAATTTTGACAGAAAAACTTCAGTAAGAACTTATTCCAATTTATCTCATAATGAAAATTTGATGATATGAACAAACAGCTATTCGTACATGTCTTTAAGTAGATAAGGGTGATAGCACACCCTTGTACTATTTATCTACTGTTGTACTACTTATCTACTAAATAGATAAGGTTGATAGCATACCCTTGTACTATTTTTTATATTAACTCCATATTTTAAAATATTTCATTTGCCAATGTTAGTTATATAGTAATTCATTTTTCCTAATGTTTGAACATTAGGGATAATAATATACATTTTTATCAGAAATTATGTTCAGTTTGAGACATTATTTCAATGTATTATTATAATCCTTATAAAAATAAATATCTGAAATGCTGTTTAGTCTGTGGAGTGTTAGGATAAGCAACAATATCACTTCTATTAGGCTTTTCAAAAATTAAAAAAATTATTAATACATGTTTGTGATATGCGATGACTATGTTAATCATGGGGTATTGGTAAGTGCACGTATCATCTTGGAGCTCCCTTCACTTCCCCTCACTACCCCTCACTTTCACCTCCCCCCCAGATTTAAATGTTAAAGATACACTGAAAACCCATATCACTGGTTTATGGGACTCTGGGGTTTCAGGGACTTTGGATTTATATGATGTCTTTTACATCATATAAATATAACTTATGAATGACTTCCCGATTCCTCCGTAAGAGTTAACCGTTTCTTCTGTCTTGCATATTTGTACGTCTTGTTTAGCATTTTTCACAGTCTGTCCTATGTTCTCTCCAGTACTGTGTGCGTGGGAGGCCTGACAACACATTTAGGTTTGAACTGCTCTATGATCTGGAGCAAGAATCTTAACTGAATGAATCAGAAGTCCTTTGATGGTTAACTTTCATTACATTTTATCTTTTAAAATTTTTTTATTTGGCTCACCATATTAATAAATTTTTATTAACTTTTTTCACCTGTTTAAGCTAGTAGAGCATGTGTGTGTGTGTGTTTGTGTGTGTGTGTGCGCGCGCGCGTGTGTATGGACAGAAAGAGGAGAGATAATATGAAATTACCTTCCTCCTTGTTATGAAAAGTACACACACAAAGAGCTCAAAACCTGATCATTAGTGGATGGGGATATAGCTCAGTGGTACAAGCGCCTGCCTGGCAAGTGCAAGGTCCTGAGTTTGATTCCTGGTACCAAACAAACAAACGAAAAACCCTGATCATTAAGCAAATGATTAAAATAAGTTTTCTTTTTTCTTTTTTTTTTTTTTGAGACAGAGTCTTTCTGTGTAATCCAGGCTGGCCATGAACTCACTCTGTAGTTTAGGCTGGCCCCAAACAGTAATTCTCCTGCCTCAGCCTCCTGAGTGCTGGGATTACAGGCGTGCTCCACCACGCCCAGCAGGTCAATATAGTTTTAAGAGATCTTACTCTACCCAAGCATTTCTCCTTTCTCGGGGCCCCTTGAACAGTCCCTTCAGATCTCAAGGTGGAGGGGAACTCACGGAGGATGCGGAGAGCTCAGCCTCTGGCCTCAGGAGCAGCACACTTTGGTCCACAACGCGGAGGGCACAGAGGGACTGAGGAGCAGCTGTGACTCGGAGGTGTGTGCCTGAGGCTGGAAGACTTTGTGCTGAGTTGAAATTCAAATTCACCTGTGAAATTGGGGGGAAATGTCAGAAAAACACATTTCTGAATTTCACCATGTATTCACCTGTGCTTTGAAAATGTTTCTAAAATTTCATGCACAACTACTTTGTTTGCCTTCTTTGTGGTTGGCATTATGCCAGTACTGAGATTTTTGTCCTTTGTACTTTGCTTTGATCCTCAAAATTTCATTGAGCCATTGTAACAATTCCTAATTATTCTTATAAATTACTAATTTTGAGGTTTTTAAAAAAATCTTTGATACATGATGAGGATCACCAAATTTGGAATGCAGTTGGGTCTAAGTGCTCCTGTATTTTATTTTGTTTATTTGTAGTCTCAAAAACTGGGCTGTATGTTTCATTATAGAAGAAAGTATGATCTGTGACATTTGGTAGGAGACGGTGCTATACAGAGAATTTTGCAAAAGGAACCAGCTGTTGGCCTTGTTGAACATCTCCAGAGAATTCACTTAACTGTTTGACTGCTCAGATAAAAAACACAGTGGTGATGGTAATAACTACTAGCTTGAAATGTTGAAATTTGATGATATAAAGAACCCACCTTGTTGGGTAGACAATTTTCAACCTCATATTTTTCAGAATCTCCAATGATTTCCCCATCAGGTAAAATGGCATAGATGAGAAATCGGGCAACAGGAGCTAAGTCTGATTTCACAGGGATAGACAGGGAAAAGTGGCCTTTTGCTGGAGCACAGAGAGAGGGGAAGAAAACAACCATGGGTGAGACATCTCCCCAGGGCCGAAATAAAATTATTCTGCTGCAAAAATCTTTTTAGATGCCTTGTAGTGTATTTACTATTTCTAGTAGGAGATATCATAAATGGTACATGTAAGGAGTAAATATCTCTAAGAGCACTAGAATTTGAAAAAAACTTTATGAATGTCATTTCTCTTATATGCATTGCATATAAGCTTCTCATCAATTTTAAGCTTTATCTAAACTACACAAAGTTCTGATGCTACCTAAAGGTATGACAAGATTTACCTTGCTTCTGTTTGATCTAGATCTCACCTTAGGAGGGGACTAGAGCATGAGGTTATGAGATGCCAAAGTGAGAGTTTAACACAGTGTATTTGTGTTTATATCCTCTTTGCCCTTCTATGACACAAACATTTTTTTCTCCTTAAGAGAAGGATGCTGCTGCTTTGATCATTACTTTTTGATGTTTGTGTGGACGAACTTCAGTCCACCATGACGCTTCTCTGTTGGGTCAAAGTAGCATCCAAGGAATAGTTCGCTGATAATTTCCCAGCAAGTTGGTCTTCAGACTCCTTTAGAATCAAAGAACCTTTAAAAGGTTTATATTTGCTCATAGAGAGGTCTCATTTAATAGTGGAAGTCTCCAATTTATCCCTGAGAAGTTGTAACTTCCTTTGTATGAGAAATAAGATCTTTATAAAGACATAAATGACCCAGTGCAAGACCTGGTATGTAGAAAGTATCTTCCCGCCTCCCCATTCTCTGACAAAATTCTGAAATGGCTCTGATTTTGAGAAGAGGGCCCGTAAGTATTTATGGCAAAGACACAGCATCTACATTGCACATAATCTGAACAGAATCAGGGGAAGAAAAAGATTTGATAAAAGTGAAAGAAAGACTCTTGTCCCCCTACAGCTTTCCCTTTGTTGTACTCAGATGGAAATTATCTCTGCCTGAAAGTATTCATGATCTTTCTGTAGAGTGAGGCCGAATGGGCCAGAATTCAGCAGGAACGTGGAGGGCACGGAAGTACTCACGATTTTCCTGCTCCACGGCAAGCACATGTGTCCCAGACTGCACAATGCCTCCCTTTGCCATTATCTGCAAAAAAGAAATAAAAGGAAATTTAATTTGCCTTAGAAGACATCTTATTCCAGACGTGGCAATAATCAGACCCATGAGAAGTGAAACATTAAAAAAAAAAATGGATGAGAAGTCAAAACACTGATGCCCAAACAGCGTTAGCATTTCTTGCCCCACAGAGGACGTCTGGCTACGGAGGGGTCAGAGCATGGCCTCGCTTCTCACCAGATAATAGAAGACGAGCTCCTTCAGCTCCTGTCCATTTAGAATATAATGTGCCTGGATCGTGTGATTTTCACCACATGGTAGTTTCCCAGGCTCGGGCTCAAGGTGGACAAAGCTATGGCTTAGGGAGAACACAGCATTAGCAGTGTGATATGCGTCTTCATTTATTTCTGGCAGCCATTGATAGTCATAGCAGTGAGCATTAGCTTCGTGTTTGACCTGGAGGATCAGATAAAAATATTATTTTTAGATCATACGTCAGGAATGGATTGTCCTATGTAAGTTTATTGCTTCACCTAAGTAGTAGCTAGAAATCTCGGCTCTATAGTAAGTGAGAAAGACCTTTGTTTTTATCTGTATCAAATGCAGGCATGATTTGTACCTCCCATGGCGGAGGACCCTGGGTCTAGTGCTTACATATTTGAAGAGCATAAAAGAAAGTGTCTGTGGCTCTGCAGCTTGAGAAAAATTTCCTTGGCTGGTTTACCTGGTACATAGGCAGATAGGAACACTGGAGCTATGCAGCCTCACTGAAGAGAGTTTGTAATCTCTAGAAACTGGAGAATTGTACTTTGAAAGTATCTGCCTCTTTTATCTTGGGTTTCAATGGGGTATTATTAGTAAATGAAATATTGTAAGCTTAGGGATTTGAGACCACTTTTGTGCAGGGCACTGGTTAAAGACTTGAGTTGGTGAATTAGCTAAAGTGCAATTTCCCAGGGCTGTCTTAGGTTGATTATTTTTAATATGTGTTCCACGTGGTTCTGGGCTCTTATACTTAACAGACTCTACTTGGCTTGTACTTTCAGCTTTCCTTCATGTAGAAGTTGTTCCTTAGCTCTTTCCAAGCTTCTCCTACCCTCATCCAAGTCCCCAAGTAGCCTGAGTGAATCTTCATGCCGGCAAAAACACTTTGTTCCGATCTCAATGTTACATTCTAGTGATAATATTTATGATCATCAAAAGAGGGAACACTTATAAGATATTTCTTGATTAATAAATGAGTAAACATTTCACTTTATTAGAGCCTTTTCTGCCATTTACTTAAAGCCAAATCAGTGGAATATACTGCTTATCCATTTTTTTGTACACTGAGTGGAGGGTTCCCATTTGCATGCTTATACAATACCCATTGCATATCTATATAGCTATAAACAAACATTTTTTTTTTGTTTTGTTTTCTCCAGTACCGGGAACCGAACTCACGACCTTGCGCTTGCCAGGCAGGCGCTTTTGCCGCTGAGCTAAATCCCCAGCCCCTAAACAAACATTTATATCTCTATTGGTGAATAGATTGTATGTTCTACAGAAAAAGTTGTATGTGCAGAAACAGGCCATTTGTTCTAAAATAGCAGGACAATTACAGTAAGGTAGTTTATGAAGTGCATATTTCTGGAACTAAATGCTAATCTGTAATAAAGGATGTATAGTAAAAGTATGTAACTGTTAAAGGAAGCCCACTGAATGCTTAACATGTACAATTTAATTTAATCTTCACAACTACCCCATACATTGGTTAGAGACTCATATTTTACCCTTTTACAGGTAAAGAAATAAAGCATCCAGGTTTACCTAGTTATTTGTCCCTAATGAGGAGCTGAGCCAATATTTTTTTACCCAGTTTATTAAATTTTGATTCTGGACCCAATTTTTAAAAATACAGTTAAAATTGCACAGCATAATTGCCATCTTCATAGTTTTCAGGGTGCATTTCAATAGCGTTAAGTGTATCTGTTGTGCCATGCAGTTCCAGAACTTTGCATCTTGCAAAATGAAACCTTGTGTTCATTCAACAGCAACTAGTCACTTTCCCTCTGCCCTTCTCTTGACAGTACTATTCACTTCATTTTCTTTTCTTTCACTTTTTGGTTTTTGTGAGACAGGGTCTCACTACATAGTTTAGGCTGGCCTTGAACTCACTATGTAGCTCAGACTGGCCTTGAACTTGCGGTGATCTTCCTGCCTCAGCCTCCCAGGTGCTGGGATTACAGGTGTGTGCTGCCATGCCTGGCAGTCATTCCATTTTCTATTCCTGTGATGTTGACTACTTTAGAAGCCACCAGTCCTTAGATACTAATTTACTTTCTATAGGTTTACTTATTCTGGGCATTCTATATATAATGGAATCACAAATGTGAAATTCTCTGTATTTCCCTAGATCATCTTATAGCTATTTTATGAAAAAAATTAGATTAAAAAAGTAACCGATTACAAGTGGAATCATATAGTATTTGTTTGTGACTGCTTTATTTCATTTAGTATGATGACCTCAAAGTTTATCCATCTTGTAGCCTGTGATAATCTTTCCCTCCAAGGCTGGATAATATTTTCTTGTATGCACATACAACACTTTTTGTTTATCCAGCATCTGTTGATGAATATCTGGGTAGTTTCTACCTCTGGGTTATTAAAAAGAGCTGCTATGAACATTCGTGTGCAAATATCTCTTTGAGTCTCTGCTTTCAATTCCTTTTTTGAAGCTTAAATTAACTTAAAAATTTTAATTGACACATAAATACATAAAATACATATTTCTGGGTACCATGCGATGTCCTGATACATATCCACATTGTGTAACATTTAAATCAGGTTTGACATATTTACTTCTTATATTTATCTCTTCTCTTTGGTAAAAATATTAAAAATCCATTTTTGGAAGGCAGCACTTTTTTTTTTTGTTTTGTTTTTTTGGTTTTTTGGTTTTTCTCCGGCACCGGGAACCGAACTCACGACCTTGCACTTGCCAGGCAGGCGCTTTGCCGCTGAGCTAAATCCCCAGCACCAAAAAAAAAATCCATTTTTTAAGCTTTAAAAAATACATTCTTGTTACTTATCATCTTTCTCTGTAATAAGATGATCATTGATATGTACTTAGAAGTCAGATTGGTGGATTACATGGTAATACTGTTTTTAAAGTTTTTGAGTAACTGTCATGCTACTTTTGATTACTGTCATTTTCACTAATGGTTTCCCTTTCATGAACTTTTGAAAAGTTGACCTCAAATTGGTTTCTAATTTCTATTTTTTTCCTGCCTATAGGAATAAACATAATTTAGAACTTTCTCTTTCTTAGCTCACACCTTTGTTTTCAAGGATGTTTCACTGGTCACGTCATTCCACACTCACCCGGACATTTAAGGAGGAGCCTACAAGGTTAGTGGTGCCGATGGAGAACTGGGCCAGGCCGTTCTCATCGGTGGTAGCATTGGACTGGTAGTTCGCTTCCAAGGCTGTGATAGTGACGACTTTCTGTGGCATAGGAACACCCTTCCCATCCACCAGGCGCACCTGAAGGTTAAAAGCTGTGGATAAGTTCCATGGATAATAACTAAGAGGCACCAATCCTATTCATTTCATTGCAATTATTATTTGAGTGTCTTCTTTCCGTTGTATGCAGTTCCAGACATTGAAGATATAGCGGGAACAAGAAAAGGTTCTTTGCATCACAGAGCTTATAGCCTGGTGAAAGAGATAGCTGCTAAACAAATGTATAAATAATATCGTTATTTAGTAGTAATCCTAAGGAGAGAAAGGAAATATTATACAGAGATAGAGTAGAAGAGGTAATCATGGGGTGATCTATTGTGATGATTGAATTCAGCAGATGAATAATTCAGTTCATATTGGAAAACGTGATTTTTTTCATTATGGACTACTTTTTGAAATTTTTAAAAAAAGTTTTCATCAACATATAGTATGATATTTCAATACAAGTGCATGATATTTCAATACAAGTGTATAATATGTAATGATCAGATCCAGATAACTGGCACAGTTATCATTTTTTTTGTGTTGGGAACTGGATCAGTATTCATAATGGATTTACAAAATCTAAATGTGTCAATGAAATATTTACTCCAAGTACAAAGACAAAAATAGCCATAAAATTCTGGCTATTATATACCCATAAAACAGCCAAAGATTCTTTGTCTTCTAGTAAGTTTTATGACAACTGTTATAGTCAATTAGCAGCAATAAATTATAAACAAGTATAATATATATCTAAGAAACTAAAAAATGCGCTACATTTTTATTTTGAGAAATGGCCAAAGTTATTGAATATGTTTTGCTATCACAACATAATCAAACTTTCTAGAATATACTCCATTTTGTTGAGTACAGTCCTTTTTTTATGGCCCTCGGAGTTGCCTGGAAACCTCAGGCATGCTGTACTCCCTGTTCTAATTTTTATTTTGAGACAAGGTCTGGGTAAATCACTAAGTTCTGCAGGCTGGGTTTGAACTTGCAATCCTCTTGCCTCAGTCTCCCAGAGTACTGGTATCACAAGTGTACATCCCACACATGGGTCCTATAAAGCTTCCATAGCTGAAACTCCATTGAGAACATGACAGGCAGCAGCTACACACTGGGATATGTACAGCTGTTCTCTCACACTTCTGGAGTCAGAAAGGTTCCTTTGCCCTTTTGCTTACAATAGAAAGATGACAATAGGAGATTGTTTCTTGTGGATCTGTGATAAAATTCATCAATCTAAAATCTGGAAACCTTAAATGGTATTTTATCCCTATATTTGTACTTCTCAAAAATATTTATAGAAATTAATGCAAACATTTATGAAAGAAATAGGTATAATAGAATATGTAATACTTAAAATAAAAATTAAAACTGCCTACTCAGCCACGGCCATGCAGTTAGTATTAAAAGTATAATGTGAGGGCTGGGGAATTTTAAAATTACCATAGCAAACATTAGCTCAGGGACACAGGGCCTCCCTGGCAAGTATGAGATTGTGAGTTCAATTCCCAGTACCAAAAAAAAAAAAAAAAAAAAAGGTATAATGTGACTGGTTAACATGAATTTTGAGATTTTTGAGAGAAAGTGTGATAAAAACCAGCTGTTTATATAATATAGACACAAACAAGAGCAAAATACAAGAGAGATAAATAGGAAGCAGGGAGAAGTTCAAATACTTCCCCAAATTACACATTCTGTTGTGTTATTTTTTAAAATATTTCAGTATATATGCTAATTTGTTTCATCTATACTAATAGTTTATCTTAGTTCACTGAAAAGAAAGTTTGTGTTTTATCTATTTCTTTTTTAAAAGAATCTTTTTGGTTTATGTCTTGTACTGAGTAACTACTTTGAAGATAATGATACACAGTACAGTAACCATTATTATTCTCTTATTAATTGGTTATGAAAATCTGTTTAATCTTTTCATAAAATACCAGAGATTGTCTGACTGTAATCATGAAAAGGAGATGGAAGGATGTCACACAATGCTGTTGTTCAAAAGTAAAGAAGAAAAACCTTCCTAATTTTGATAGGGCTTTAGAAGGATTTCATATACAAATTTAAAGTGAATAGGTCTACTTTTACTTGGTTTTACCCTCTTGTTTGTATATGAAGACTAACCTTAACTGGGTGTATTTATATTAATGACTAACTTTAACTGGGTATAATTGTAGCAGAAACTGTGCCTGTGGTATGAATTGGGTAAGTCTGGGTTCTTACTACAGCCAGCTTCTCACCTGTCCAAAGAAGGGGAGTCCTACTCTCACATGTGAGTCCACTTTCACAAAGGAGAGTTTGGTTATGGTGGTTGTGATATCACTGGACCCTGTCCCAGCCAACTGCACACCTGCAAAAGACATAGAAGAAGGAAAAGAATCAGTTCAGTTTTGGAAGAATGACATTCAGGAACTTCTTACACTACCTCCTTCCTTACAATTCCTGATTTGGTCAAGGAAATAAGTTAATATTCATCCCTTCTCCCATACCCTGTGGGGTGCAAACCTGTTCCTTCTTCTTCGATCTTGGCCTCCGCTCGGAGCTGCATTTCATATTCTTTCCTCCTTAGCTGGAAGGCATTGGTTTTCACTTGCTGAGAGAAGCAACCTTGGCTGTTTAGCTAAGGAGATCATAAAGTACAAAAATATGATCCGTGTTATACTGAACAGATCTGTGGTCAGTTAGTGTGTGGTCACCTAATAGATTTTTTTGGGACAACATAATTTAGGCATCTTCTACCCTGAGGACATAGAATATACTGTCTAGAGACTAATTATTATTACTGGGCACAACTGTACCTTCTGTATAAGATTTTAGTATCTGAAATGCCCTGGAGAGAATGAGATGGAAATGCTGTACACGTCTTGAGTGGTCTTACTGTGGCAGGCAGCTAACTCTTCACCCAAGCTTGGATCCCCTTCCCCCATAGATGGCTGGGGCTGGGAGCGGGCTGCGCATCTGAGGACTTCCTCACCTCTCTGGCCTCCAGATGGAGCCATGGGACAAGTTCTTGTTCAGAGAAAGAGAACAGACTGACACCCTTCCCCACTAAGGCAATAAAAAAAAAGTAATTTTTTCCTGTTTTCTTTGTAGCAGTAGATACCCACAGAGGCTTCGGATGGCTCAGTTTCTGTTATTCTGGAGCACCAACAGTGAGCAATTAGAAGAAATAAATAATTCCTATTGTGGTGAGTCATTGTTTTTAAAATTACCGTAGCAAACATGGGATTCTCTTGCAGATTACCCCCTTCCTGAGTTGGCACCACGGCACAGCTCCCTGCTGGGCAACACTGCCTTTACTTTCAGTACCTAGCAGGTCGAGTTCTCAACCTACCTGTTGACTGAATTTCTTACAGAAAGCCTGGGACTCTTGGCCATAGCAGCGGGAAGGATTATTATAGTTTCTGCAAATGCTCAGAGTCACGTTTCCTGGCACAGGCTTTCCATATGTGTATCTGTCAGGAGAACATTGCCAAATGAATCAAAACAGACAGAGAACAACCCCATTTTTAAATCTCCACTTTCCTTTTGACTTCTGCATATTTACTCTGTATTTTGCTCTGATTCCTGCAAGATTTACCTAATTTTAAGGGCATGCAAACTGAACAATGACTTTTTTAAAAGCAAATCTCCACCAATTTACTGTGTTATTCTCTTTTCATGTCTCTTTCCCTTGAATTTTTATTTTGATATCATTTTAACAGTGCCCTTTTATTACAAAAGCTGTTTTAAAAGGAAAAGCCAACACCAATAAAGACAAACAAAATAAAGACAACTAGGATACACAAACACTCTTTTATGATCTTGTATCAAAACTATTAATATGAAGGTGTCTTCTCAATATAAATCTCTTTATATTTTGCTTACATTTTATAAAAATAGGATTGTGCCATAAATATGTCACGGACGCTTGTGTTTTCAGGGTATTTGATTCCTTCCCTATTGGAAATGTCCTCTATACTGTAATTTCAAGAGCACCAGTTCACCAGTTATGTGGGATTGGGAAGTTGGTAGCCATTTCTGAAATAACACTTGGCAGGAGCCTGGCAAGTAGCAGGTGGTCTTTAGGAAGGACAGGTTTCCTTCTTTTCTTTTTGCTTTACCTGCTCCTTCTTCGAAGGCTACTCTGGGGCTTCAGGGATGGGGCCCAAGATGCTGGAATCGTGAGTTACTGAGTGTAAAAGATCCATCCTGAGAGGTCATGCTTAGTCTTTTGGGTAAAAATGGCAGTGCCAAATGCATGTGACATGCTTTAGGTAGAATGATGAGTTAGGTGACATTTTGGGTATACCTTTATTTCTAAAAATCATGAATCTAAGCTATTTTTCCACTATGGTTGCAAGATCGGGTAAACAATCTGTTGATGATTGAAGTTCCTCTATAACCATATGTCAATTATCTGGTTAGTGTATGTTTTGTTATTTCTACTTAGGGGAAAGCCACTATTCTTTAGCTCAATTTGTACTCTGTGTGTGTGTGTGTGTGTGTGTGTGTGTGTGTATCTCTGTTGCTTTCAGAGTTAATCTCAGTCTTAGTAGCACAACCTTTCTAGAAGTAATTTCCTAGCCCTTCACAGACACAGTAATGCTGATCAAAATAAAAAGTAGAAAAGCAACAGAATATTCTAGAGAATGCAATCCTTCCAAAGTACTTAAAGAGTTGGTATTGCCAAAATACTTCAAATTGGCATCTTTTTAAAATATTTCCCCATGAAAGACAAATAAGAGTAAAAACAGGAAAAAAGGAATAAAGTCAACTTACCGGCCACACACTGACACGGTAAACTCTTGTTCCATGGTAGTTATTTTCCGTGGCATGGATACTTGTACTTCGAATTTGGGGAGAACTGTTGATTGGTGATAAAGAATTGGTGATTGGTGACTATTTCTCAACTTTTGGGACATTAATATTTCCCAGTTCTGTAGGAATTTCAGGGCTTTGAAAATGCTCCTCTATTGTTCAGTATATCTGTGTGTTCCTTGTTCTCCAAACGGAGAGTTTGGTTGAGGGACTGTGACGGATCACTGATAAGTAATGAAACAGTCACTAAAACAAGCATATTTTATATTTTTGATATTAAATATTGCCCCAAATAACCAAGTTATAGGAAGCCTTATGTGCAAATCATTGATGTCTTCCCTGGACATACAACTAATCAGTTTTACTCTCAACCCAATCTTACCCATGGAAAATGGAAAAACTGCAAATCAACTCAAGTTCTAGATTCTAGAAGTTCAAATATGAAGAAAAATGTTCCACAGTGTTCCATGACCCATACCAAATTCCTCCACAGTGAAGGGGTGCTCTATTCTTCCTCCAGAGTCCTTGAGCACCACCATCATGTAGGGGCCCAGCAGGGGCTCAGATGAGAGCGGAAAGTCGAGCTGTGTGAGGCCGCGCTCTAGCTTGAGATTCTGCCACTGCATGATGCGGTTTCCTTTGCGGTCCTAAGGATAAATGAATTGTAATGAACAGAAATGCAAGGAACATGAGGGACAATAGAAGGAAACTCATGGAAATGCCCAGTTATGTATAAGGAGAACAACTAGGGGGCGGTGAGGGGTGAGGAACAGAAATGGATTATAACCATCCCACTATGTGAGTTTGGAGCCTGGATCCTCAATGACATGTTTCTGGGACAGTCTAAGTACTTCCCAAATAAAAATATCTGCCTGAAATTCATTACTTTCTTTTTATGTATGGAATATTTCATATTGCTTACCTGAATGAATACTACTGGAAGCTGAAAGAAGAAAAAAAGAGAGGAGTTTATACTTACTCTCAAATATTTCCAACTCTAATGGTATAGAACGATATAGATATAGCTCTCTACCTATGCAGAATAACTTTCTCTAAACTTTACAGAACTTGGAATTAATCCATTTTAAGATGTTAAAAAGTTACCGGTCCATCAACAACAAATATATATATATGTACTGCTGTGAGGAATGAGATTTACTGACAATACTTACATGCTTATAATTCCCAGCGAAGAATATTCCTTTGCTGTACAGTTTTACAGGTTGGAAAATAAACACTTGTAAAACTGGAAGCAATTATGCTTGGATCCAATTATAAATTTGGGTCACAGACTACTTAACTAGTTCTAAAAATGAGTACAAGTAGGCGTGGTGCCTCAAAACTAATATTCATTGCATCCAAACCATGCGCAGTGTATCATTTCAAATGCTGAGAATATAGTAATGCGCAAAAGAACGATAGGTCTGTTCTCTTTTTTTTTTTTTTTTTTATTTGGTTTTTCTCTGGTACCGGGAACCGAACTCATGACCTTGCGCTTGCCAGGTAGGCGCTTTTTGCCGCTGAGCTAAATCCCCAGCCCCGATAGGTCTGTTCTCATAGAGCTTATATCCTAATGGAGATGGATGGAAAAGAAAAAGATCTATTATCTATCATCTATCTGAGTATCTATCTATCTATCTATTTTAGGGTGGTAAGTGCTAAGAAGAAAAATAAAGCTCATTTATATAAATAATACTAATTTTATATAAAGAGTAGGAAACTCACCGACTCATTCAGGGGGCGAAAGTTTTCATCCAATGAGACAATACGAGCTTTCACTGAAATGAAAATATTTTCCATGAGACCACCAAACTCATGGCTAGGACTATTGTTTGGTAAGACAAACTATTAGGGAAACAGGACTATAGGGACTTTGAGTGACAAATATTCAGGGAAGAAAGGTTTTGTTTTCAATGTTCTTACTGTAGACCTTGTCATACCTGTCTGCCCTGGTTTGTAGATGGGTTTGTCTGTCTGGACAAATACCAGGCTCTCTGTGTTTTTAACCAACACTGTTCTCCGACTCCTGAATTCATGAGTTGCTCCTTTCACTTCGACAGTGAGGAACAGAACCTCCTCAGGGGATGACGACTGGGGCACCTGAAATAAAGAAGTGATCCTGAGAACCCGTTCAGCCTTCAGTTCTCCTCTTCCATGTGCTGTTCCTCTCCTCACTTGAGATGGTGCCCTTTTTACTTAATCTCACTTCCTCATTCTTAATTGGGAAAGTTGCGGCACACAGCAATCACTTCTGCACTTTTACCAAAGGCAAGACAGAACACAAGAAGGAGAAAATGCATGGTAGTAGGGGTTATGACTGAGAACCACACCTTCACTTACATAGCTCAGACAATGCAGCCTGGATTCATTTACACCGTGAGCTCTGCCAGGTTGATGTTATGTGGTAAGAGGGTATGGTAGAAACATGTTTTAAGCTGATGAAAATACCATCTTATTCATGCTAGGCTGCAACTATCCTCTATGTACACAGCTGAAGAGAAACTGGACATCTGCCCAGGCTAATTTCTACAATACTCTGAGAAAGAATGTGACATAGTCCTCTCAGTCCACCATTCACACTGAACCTTGACTTAGTTTGCTTTTTAAGTTTATTTTTTTGTACTTTAAGGAGAAGTCACATTTTCACTGTGTCTAATACTTCCCAGAATAATAGAATTTTTCTTTACTCTTTAAGTTAATTTTCAATAAATAGTTGTCTCTCTTGGATGGAAATTTTTGTACTTTAATTTCTACACTTCATTGCTACATTTAGTTTCTTATCAACTTTCCCAAGACTTATCTTGACAGTTCTAAATCCCTAGACCTGAACAGTAGAAGCAAATATACGAAGTCAAACAGCCATACTCACAGTGAAGGCAACACACTGGAATAAGTCCTTCTCTGCCACCACGTCAGTGAAGAGACTGTTGTTTCCCCTGCTAGACTCCAAGGTGGCCCTTACAGTCACTGTCTCATTCAGCTGAGTCAGAAGCAGGCATGCTTTCTCAGGGGTCCCAGAGTGCAGCAGGGAGGGGACCAATACCATGTATTGTCTGAGAATGGGGGAGTCCGGTTAGAGGAGAGAGACGGAAGGCAGACATTGCTACTGACAATACTACACTCCATCACAGTCTCCACACCAAAAGAAGTCACATGGATGACACGAAACTGCTGTTGAGTGGCATATGTAAGAATAACTTCCCCTTTTGTCACATGGCATGGCAGTGAACAGGAAGTTCACTCTCACATATACTTCACTTTAAGGAGCCACAATATGTGAGCGTCTAAATTAGAATAAAATATGTTAATTATATTCATTTACATTGTAGATCTACTATACTTTAGCATTACAGTAAAAAGCAAGCAAAGTCTTAGGCATGTGGGCACCAGAAAACTAAATTATAGAACCTTTATGAAACATACGTGTGTGTGTTCAACAACCTGTGGAAATTATATGGCTACCACTTGCTTCCTCTTTGTAAATATGGAATCTGGAGCTAAAGGAAAGCAAGCCATGAGTTTAGTCTCAGTGGTGGCAAGTGGCTAGCAAAGTCTGCGTGTTACCTAACCGTGGGTGTTTGCATTTTAAATATTTGCTTTTCAACTCATGGCCAGAGAAAAGTTTCATCAAAAATTACCCTCTTGTGATTGAATTTGGGTCTTGGTAACTTGTGAAGAGGACAGAAAATTCCTCAATTCTCTGATACGTATTTGAAGCTGGACCCGAAGTTTTCAAACATTTTTGCACAGAACTCCTAAAATAATTGTTTGACGCCATGCACCTCTTACGTATTTTCAAGTAAACATATTTTTTTCACAATTTTAAATAATAGCACAATATATATTTTAGATTAAGACACATTGTTTTGTAATCTTGCCACAGAATCTTAAATATTATACAGGTAAGATTCTCAGTAGCACCTATTCAAAAACATCAAAAATGCTTTTGTCATGATCAAAGGTTTAAAATCTTTTCCCCTTTTCCTTTGAATTTGGATTTCCACGCCACTTACTAAATAGAAATTTCTCTTTTGATTTTTATGCTTTAAACTCTTTTATGGATCATTCTTTTTATTAACAAATCTCTTTTTACATGTATATGTGTAATGCTATATATGGAAATGTGTTTGACAACACTTTTAAATAAAGCGACTATAAATTTATAAATTTTTTAATGATTAATTTATTTTCAAAATTACTATTATACTGCTGATCAAAACAAAATAAATATATTAATCCATCCATACTAGATATAAAATTAAAATACTCTTGAAGCACATATTTAATGAGAATGATTATATGTTCCCTTCTCCCCCAGTGAATTTATCTGTACAAGGATGGATAGTACTTACTGCTAGAATTAAACAAAGTCCAACATTAACTTTGTCACTACTATTAGTTTTTATAGATGTAAGTGCTAGGACTTGTTTCCATAAAAGAAGTAATTGGCAGTTAGAAATATGCTCCTGTCACCAGTTTTTTTTTTTTTTTTTTGTACCGGGAATGAACTCAGGACATTGCGCTTGCCAGGCGGGCACTGTGCCCCTGAGGTATATTCGCAGCCCTTGTCACAATTTTTTTGCATACATGCTTCAAAGCATTCAGTATTGTGTTATCAAGAATGGCTGATAGTCATCTGAAAGCTCATATTTCCTTTAGCTTTTTCTTCACTTTTATTGGGACGATCTATTACCTCCTTATCTGAAGATTTTCTTCTCTCCCATTTCAGTTCTTTACTTTCTCACCACCAACATTTCAAGTTGTTTTTTTATTTGGCACCCTAGTGATTACTTAATTCCAAGATAATATTTCAGGGTAAGATCTAGTTGAGGGAGAGGTTTGACTTCGTTTTACACAATAGAATATGGATAATTAAGAAACAGAAGGCAAAAAAAAAAGATGAACAGTGCAATTTCATTAGATCTAAAGAAACACAAAGATCTGAAAACTGATTCATTTAAAAAAGGATTGATTTCTGATGTCCCCAGGAAAGGCTTTGCATATCACCACGGAAAGTTGAAATTTAGAGATACAAAGATACAAAGAGTTTGAGGAAAATCTTTATGACTAAGTGAAGAAAGAATAAACTAGATTTACAAAATCTCACGGTTGGAAACAACTTCAGAAATCTGAAGGTGGTGATTTCATAGGAAAGGCAAATGAATTATATAAAAGAATCTGAAATACAGGAAAGGACCCTTTCAGTTTAGGCTCCATGCCTTGTGTGGAACTCACGGTTTTCCAGAGATGGAGGCGTCTGCAGGCAGGAAAGCCAGGAGGAGGAGGACAAGAGTAGGATGGAGGAGTTTGTTACCCCCCATGCTGCAGGGACTGTCCTGTACCTCACTCCCTACAATCTCTCTGGTCCCAGCAACTGGGCTTTATGCTCCCCTCTGTGCAAACAGGAAGTTCCACCCCCACAAGTTCTCTAAACAAAGTTGAGGTCTCTGGACCTTCTCTGAAAGGGTCATTAATGGCTTAATTGTGGTCAAGGTTAATTCCTGGCCGGCTAGCCGGAATTCCTGGAGGGATAAACCATATTCCTGTTAGTGTTCACTTTTTCTGGGATTTTACAGTAAGGCATCTAGTCATATTTTTAACCTCTTTTCTTTCTCATCCCCATAAAACTTTCACAGTGCCTGTATGGCTCTCCTCACATCTCTGGTATGAGTAATTGGCAGGAGAAGCTGCACTTTAAACAACACTAGCTGGGTCAAATGGAATTTCATTCCAATTGGTGTGTCTGCAAATCCTCCAGCAGAAATGTCAGCCTTAATGGCAGAGTTTCAGAGTTCAGTAGTCCTCTGTGGAAATGCTGTTGGATCCAGCTGGTCAGCTTTGACCTTAGGGATATTTACTGAGTTGCAGACTAAGAGCCAGGCCCTGGAAAAGTGATAATAGAAAATAGTTTCCTGTTTTGATCTACTGTACCTCAAGATCTCAACTGCCTCTATCATCTACTATACAAATTTCCTTCTTGCCTTCTAAATTGGTACTTCTTTCCAATCTTTAAGGCATATAAACAATTTCATTAATTCATCCATCTATCTCTTCATGCAGCTATTTGGTTATTTTTATCCTACTAGGATTACACCCCAAACAAGATTCTACAGATAAAATGATCAAATAGGTAGAAATGGGTATGCACTAAAAGGTCTTACATTCCTATGGGAGTAAAAACAAATGATACCCCCAAGCACTATAAATAAAGTAGCCAAACATCATTATTGGAGAAATTTAGGATTCTATGAGAGCAAAGAGGGGCACACTTGAGGCCTTGAGAAGGAAATTTGGGGGAAAGCAAATGTAAAGAAACATCTGAACCATTGCTGAATTCCTACCATCTTGTCTCGTGAAGCTCTGTATCATTTCTAATTTTATTTATTTATTTTTTATTCTCTTTAACGGTTTGATCAATGTTGCATTCTTATATCTGGTAATCTGAGCAGAAGTTAACAATATGTAAAATAACAACCAGTGTTAATTCCTACCATTCTGTTTTGAAATCCTGTATCATTTTTATTGTTTTTGCTTTGTTTTGCTTTTGTCTGTTGTTATTTTGTTATTGTTTTCTTTATTCTCTTTAAAACTAAAAAAAAAAAAAAAACAAAAAGAATCATCTGAGTATGCGTAGTGGTTAGCCAGAGGAAGAAAGAGATGACGAGAACGTGATGAGAACACTCTGAGGCTAGGGACTGATGTATGCAAAGGCTCAGGAGGTGAGATCCATAATGACAATCTTCAGTGAGATGAAAACTATTTGATGTGGAAGACTTGCCCGGAGGCCCTGAAGGGTGAAGAAAGCTGGCTTAAACTGGGATGGAATTGTTGGCAATCTTAAGGTCTTTGGGGAGTAGTTGGTGGATTGACTACAGATTTATTTCCTGGCAAGCTTGCTCTTACTGAAATTGGGAAGAGTGACTGCAAGGAAGCAGCCCTGGAGGCGGGGAGACCTGGGGGCGCTTCTGCCATAACCTGGGTGAGCGCCGACCGCACTCGGAACAAGGACATTCATGCTTGGATTGGGACGAGGTGCAGACTTACATCATATTTAAGAAATCATAAACAATAAAAAATATGGCCTTTACTTTTTCAACTGGTCATAGAGTGAGCTGTGTTGCCTTTCACTGAGTGAAATAGAGAAACAGACTGGCGGCAGCAGAAGGAGTGGCACAAGGGCCTGGGCCAGAGAAGATGAGGAAGGTAGCTTTAGAAAGTGCTGATAGTCATAGAACGCTTCACATATGACCGCAAAGCGAAGCCCTTATGTCACAGAGTGCAGAATAATAAGCAAGACGTGGCTTGAACCCCTGAATCATCGAAATGCCCAGGCTTTCAGACTAGACAGAAGTACTTTCTGGTTGTCGAGTCTTTGTATTTTGAGATCTATTTTCTAGCAGTTAAACCTGTATCCTAAATTCTTCTTTATCATTATCTCTATCTCAGTCACCTCATCCCTAACTTTGAGTGTCCTGGGTCACAATGTGAGTCACATTGCAAAAGTGTGGTTGCGGAGTCACAAGGAGAACAGACTATTGAAAATGTACCTGACTTCTTATTGTCGGTTAAAGTTAAAGCAACTTGAACGCCACCAAATTACCTTTTCCTGTCTGGCCTTCTCGTACCACCCAGAGATTTATCAGTCTACCGGGGAAGCGGATGCCCTGGAAATAGATGATAATATTCAAAACATGATGTAAAGAGAGGAGAGGCGGAGACAGCAGTACAGAAACATTCTTGTCCAGCTGATGGGCAGGTGATGTAAGATGCTCTCCTCCCCCAGAAATGCTGACAGATTTAAAATACAGATATGCAAGTAGAACAGAAGACAGAAAAGACAGAAGACAGAAAAGGAGAAACACAGGCAGGAGAGCGGACAGGAGGTGTCTCTGACTCCCAAGGCAGGGACTATTTTAACCAGAATCAACAGTAGAATTTTACTCGGTCAGAGTGATTGTGATTTTCAGCCAAGTTATCAGTGTTAACAGCATACAAAATAAAGAAACTGCTACCAAAGATTGTATGCTTTTACAATTCATTGATTCAAAATATAAATTTGTTTTATAAGTTTCAAATTGTTTTGGAAATGCTAAAGTAACTGAAAACTGATTTGCAAGGTTAATTACGTAAAATAGGAAAGGTTAATGTTAATTGCTTTCATTTCATGCCTCATTAGAAGCTGCGATTATATTTCCAAGTTTCTGGTTATTCATGTCAGATGTCACTATGAAATCAAATGATAAGTTGGTAATTTTTTTGAGTGGATTTCACAATAGGAACAGTGGGTTCTGGCTATTTCAGTATGTACACAGGGCAGAAGCTTGATGCCAGCTTCTTAAGAAGTGAGGGGAATTGGGAGAAACTTGGAGATAGTTTTGCAGCATTTATCTGAAGGAGGAGAAAAAAATAATAAGGCAGCGCCTGTCAGAAATGAAGATGTCTCTAGTAGGAGAAAGGCTTGATGAAGTGAAAATGACATGTTGCCTCTTTAAGCATGCAGTGGAGGGAGCAGATGAAAAGGAGGAGGCCAAGCTGTGCAGAGTGAGAAGGGACAATCTGAGAGGGAAGAGTCTGAGACTGTGAGGCTTGGTGTCTGAAGTGGTGGTGTGCACCTTGCCTGTTACCCCAGCACTCTGGAAAGCGGAGGCAGGAGGATCGCAAGTTAGAGCCCAGCCTGGGCAACTTAGCAACTTAGTGAAACCCTGTCTCAAAATAAAAAATAAAAAGGGATAAAGATGTATCTCAGTGAAGACCCTGGATTCAATCTCCAGCACCAGAAAAACAATGTGTATGCAATGGAATATCTTTCAGCCATAAAAAGAATGACATCTTGTCATTCGCAGGAGCATGGATGGGAATGGGAGATGTGTGTTAAGTGAAGTAAACCAGACATAGAAAAGGAAGAGTCAGAGTTTCTCATATGGGAATGCTAAAAAGAGTTGACAAGCAATTAAAATAGTGGTAACTAACAATTGGGAATGGTGTGAGAGGAGATGGGTGGATAAAGAAAGTTAGATTTGATCAGTGTATGCCATACGCATGTGTGAAAGTGCACACTCAATCACACCAATGTGTACAATTAATATGTGTTAATTTTAAAACATTAAAAGAAAATGTGTATGGGGAGTCATCTTCAGAAAGGACTCCACTTTTCATGTATTCATAAACAAAAGGAAGATTTCTAAAATTCCTTTTTGCTGAAGGGAAAGTGTGTGGGAGGAAAAGAAAATGCCAGGACCACTCAGGGGCCAGAACACTTGAGCCTCAGTTTTGATTGAGCTGTGTGGTCCTGGATAACATACTGCACTGCTCTGGGCCTCAGTGCCTTGCCAGTAAACTTGGGGACAATAAGATCTATGTAGTTTGTGTAAGATGCTATGGGTAACAGAGTTTTAGAATTGCAAAAGTTACTATGCCAATGGGAATTAATATTAATACTATTTTGAATCCTATGGGCTCAGAAAGTGTCTACTTCATATCTGCTTTGGGTTTTGCTATCAGAACAGCATCCACCAGTGTCTCTGGTGTGTGTGTGGGTGTTTTAGTTTACCTGAACAGCAAGTCCATGATAGAAAGCAGAACACACAATTTAAATAGGTTCTAATGGCTTTGAAGAATTTAGCAAATATTTGCTGCTGGAAAATGAGGTAAAGAAAGGAGAAAATAGAGGCTGTTGCTGCAAAATAAGGCAGCAAAATACTGGAAAACATGTGGCATTAAGAACCGAGAATTACTTGGGCGTGGTGGTGCATGTCTGTAATCCCCTTACTCGGGAGGCTGAGGCAGGAGGATCGTTGGGAGTTTGAGACCAGCCTGGGCTACAAAGTGAGGTCAAGTCCAGCCTGAATTGCACAGCAAGACCCTGTCTCAAAAAGACAAAACAAAAAACAAAAAACAAAACAAAACACCAAAACAATTTCCCCTATATTGCAATAGTGGTTGCCAGGAACTGAATGACTTCTCTAGTTGTACCTGGTGTACACTTAGTTAACTTTGACTAATAAAATAGAACATTTGAATATTTCCTGTTAGTGATGACAATGAAGGACATTTCAGCTGGTTATACGTTAACCACCTTCAAACTTGGAAGGTTCACTTGGTCGCATAACCACATTCCTCCAATCCAAGGGTGTCCTTGCTTTATCTTTGATATCCTGGGTAACATCCGGAGTTGTGGAGTGAGGGCAATATGCATCCACACAGATATGCTCAGACATGTTCTCAAAGTCTTTCTCATTTATGCTATTTCATTAACCCTTTCACCTAGAGAAAAATATTTGAATGGACAGAGATGAAAGCATGAAAAATTCTCAAATTGTTTCTGTTCTAACAATATATTTGCTATAGGTTTTCAAAATCATTAAATTGTTAGTTGGTGTTTTA